TCTATCTATCTATCTATCATCTCTCAATATTTATCTGTGTATCCATCTACATCTCTCTCTCTCTCTCTCTCTCTCTCTCTCATCTCTCAATATTTATCTGTGTCTCCATCCACATCCATCCATCCATCCATTTTATCTAATCTCTCTAATCTGTCTACCTACCTACCTACTTTATCTAATCTCTCTAATCTGTCTGTCTGTCTGCCTGCCTACCTACCTACTTCTCTCTCTCTAATCTATCAATCATCTCTCTCTCATCTCTCTCTCTCATCTATCCATCTATCTATCCATGGTATCTATCCACCCACCCACCCACCCATCTCCATCTATCCACCCATGTCTGTCTGTCTTTCCAAAATGTATTGGGTTCAGTTGCTGGTTGTTTCCAATGAAAGGCCAAGGCTGGGAGTTTGCTCCTCTCTTGAACCAAAATGGACGTACGTTATTTTTGCCCTCCTCAGCATCCACGCACGCAACCCTCAGTCTTTCAGCCCAAGGAAGACATCCTCAAGCGGTCAGGCAGGGCACCTGGTGTCAGCCGTTCTTCCTTTCCCCCTCCCTGGCCCCCACCGCCGGTCCATCCAGACCCTTCCCTGGCGCTGTGGTCTGCTGCCGCTTACCTCGACTTTCAGTGCTGCTGCGCACCCATTTAAAAACTGTTGGATATTGCCAAGGCAGTCAGCTTCCGTCTTGGGCTCCAGGCAATACTAAAAAATAAATAAAAATAAAAATAAAATCCGACAGTCAACAGATTTGGAAGCTTGTGACAACTCCTGTCAGCTGGCTCACTTTTGTTCTCAAAGAACATTACCCTGAGTGTTTGTGTGAAGGAATGAAGACAGCTTGGTGCTCACTGGATTTTCACGAGAAGATGGGCTGTGGGTGGGCGGGGGGAGGGAGGAAAAAAGAGGGGAAGACAAGCTGTCAGCTCAGGAAGAAGCGTGGAACAAATGAACCCAAAGCCACCCAGAGCTCAGGACTTGGCGCCGAATGCTTGCCCATAAGATGCCCTCTGCTAGGGAAGAGAAAGGGTGCTGCAGATGAAGACATGTGGACTGGAAGGGGAGATCCCTCTGGCTGAGCAATTCTGGGGGGTCTTTATGGGTGATGGGACCAAGTGGATTCAACCTAGAAATAAGGAGGAATTTCCTGACTGTGAAAACTACCAACCGATGGTACAGAAGTTGCCTTTGGAAGTTGTGGGAGCTTCATCGCTGGAGGCTTTCAAGAAGAGATTGGACTGCCATTTGTCAGAAATGGTGTAGGGTCTTCTGCTTGGGTGGAAGGGGGTTGGACAAGATGGTCTACAAGGTCCCTTCCAACTCTAATCTATCTATCTGTCTGACCATCTAATCTATCTATCTATCTATCTATCTATCTATCTATCTATCTATCTATCTATCTATCTATCTATCTATCATCTATTTATCTTTCTATCTATCCATCTCTATCTATCTATCTATCTATCTATCTATCTATCTATCTATCTATCT